TGCCGCCGCTGGTGACCGCCCGCCGCGCCGCCGGAGGTTCACCCGCGCCCTCCCCCAGGACGGGCCCGCGGAATTCCGGCCCCTCGGTCCCGGACGCGGAGGCCGCTTTGCGCGCCGGGCGGCCGTGAGGCCGGAAGATGGCCTGGGTGCTCAAGATGGACGAGGTGATCGAGTCCGGGCTGGTCCACGACTTCGACGCCAGCCTCTCGGGCATCGGGCAGGAGCTGGGCGCCGGCGCCTACAGCATGAGGTACTGGGCGCCCCGGCCCGGGCGGGTCACCTCGGGAGCCTCTGTCGGTGGGGAGGGCCTGCCCAGCCCTGGGCCTCTGCCTGGCGGCGCCCGTCGGTGCCCGGGCCTCGCCGCGTGGCCGGGCGCCGCAGGGCCTCGCAGGCCGCTGCCCACCTCGGTGGCGGGCGCGGAAGGGTAGCTCGGACGGCTTCGGCCTGGGCCAGGCTCCTGAAGGCGCACGCCGCTCTGAGAGTGGCTGTGGAGGTGGGGAAGGGGGTCCCTGCCCGTGCAGTGAATTACAAGCCCTTGAGAGATGAAATGAAAACCTACTTGTCTCGCTGCCGTCCAGTCGATTCCGACTCTTAGCGACCCTGCAGGACAGAGGAGAAGTGCCCTGTAGGGTTTCCAAGGCTGTAAAACTTTACAGAAGCTGACTGCCACATCTTTCTCCCCCGGAGAGGCTAGTTAGCGGGTTCGAACCACCTTGCAGTTAGCGGCCGAGCGCTTTAACCAGTGCGCCACCAGGGCCCCTGGAGATGGAACACGGTGTACGAAATGGCAGCATTTACATTGGGAAAAATCCCTCAAACGTTTCGGTATCAATGCCTACTTTGTTTTTAGTTTTGTGCGTTGGCTATTTTAATCGCTTGATATTATGATAGTACATCATAAGTGGATGAGTAATAGCAGGGGGAAGAAGCACACGGACTCTAGTGATGTGTTTTTGATTGTCTCCGAGTGAAATCGCTCGTTTGGGGGGCTACCCGCTCAAGCAGTTTCCCCTGGAAGAGGGCTGTAAGATACAGTGATTGGACCGCAAGGAAGAGTTGGTTTAGTTTGTGCCACCGGTACTAGCACCCATTCTTTTTCTTTAAGTTTGAGAAGTTGAAACAGATCTCAGCTGGCCTCTGGTCTTTTTCCTGAAGAACACTGTTTTTAACTACTGTCAGTTTGGCAGCTCATTATTTTTATTAGCAGCTTTGTTGAAATATAATTTACATAACATGGAGTGTACTGATTGAAGCCCACGGTTCAATTATTTGGCAGCTCTTTATTCATGCGAATTAAGTGATACTTTCCAGATAATTTTCCTTAAAGTAGTGCCTGATGTCTTTGAAGTGCTGTACAGTTTCCCACTAGCTTTCATGTAGACATCTAACTGCAGCTCTGAGGAAGGCCAAGGGGCCTCAGTGTCCCACAGAAGAAAGACTCCAAGGTCAGAGCAGGCCTGGAATGTTGGGGTTCTCTGAGGTAATTTGGCTTTTATATCTTAATGGGGAACTCTGGGCCATAAAGAACTATCAGAAAGGCCGAGTCGTGTCTCAGAATGTGAAAGCAAGCACTGGAGAGCATCTTACCCTGGGATTTCTGCCGCCAGTGTCTGGCCCTCAGTTGGCCTCTGCTGGTCTCCCTGAACTTGGCGCCTCCTCTCTCTACACTTGTGCAACTTGAGGGCTCTCGATGAGGTGGTTTATTTTCTAGAACAGCTGTCTGTCTTTGAGGAAACTGAGTTACCGAAAGTCATGGGGGTCATCCCAGACAAGAGTTCCAGACACGAGGCTTCCCTAGTGGAAACACCCCTCAGGTGCCAGGCTGCTCCTTGCAGTCAAGGTGGGAGAGGGCATGTGAAGCAAGGTCATACGTGTGCATTTGCCATTGCTTCTCAGTTCTCAGTTCTGGTAAAATGAAAGTGTGCTGCTGAAAACTTGGCTTATTGACGCTGATTTGGAGCCTTAACTTTTTTCTAAGTTTCATTTGAGACTTCCTTGGTTTTAGTGTTTAACCAACTGATTAACATCATTAATGAACTTCTGTTTATGGTTTATTTCTATGAAAAGGAGAGAAAAATCTTAATGTTAACCCTTTTCCTGATTTTGTACTTAACGCCGTGTCTGCCAGTTTGTAATTGTGTGTTGTTCACAGTACTCCCCACGGGAAACTATTTTTTTTTAATATTGTGGTGAAAATATACACAAAATATCCAGCAGTTTGACAGTTTCTGTGGGTATAGATTAGTGACACTGATTCTATTCTCTGTGTTGTACAATCATTTCCCTATCTTTTTCTAAACTATTCCACCCCTATTAACATAAAGTGGAGCCCTGGTGCCGCAGTGGTTGAGAGCTCGGCTGCTAACCAAAAGGTCGGCGGTTTGATTTCACCAGCCACTCCTTGGAAACTCTATGGGGCAGTTCTACAATGTCCTTATAGGGTCGCTATGAGTCTGGAATCAACTGGACAACAGTGGGTTAATGGCTAAAGAAGGAGCCCTGGTGGTGCAGTGGGTAAGCGCTGGGCTGCTAACCTAGAGATCAGCGGTTGGAACCCGCCAGCTGCTCTGAGGAAAAAAGGTGGCAGTTGGCTTCCTTAAAGATTACAGCCTTGGAAACTCTATGAGACATTTCTGCGCTGTCCTATAGGGTCACTACTGAGTTGTAATCAACTCAGTGGCACACAACAGCAGCAATGGCTCATGATGTTGAACATCTTTTCACGTGCGTGTTGGACATTTGAATATCCTCTTTGGTGAACTGTCCAAGCCTTTTGCCCATTTCTGGATTGAGCTGTTTTGTCTTTTTGTTGTTAACTTGTAGAAGTTTTCTCCATTTCTGTAGGTTGTCTTTTCACTTTGTTGATAAAGTCTTTTGATGTACAGACGTATTTAATTTTTATTTAGTTACTGTGGCTTTATAGTGTGTTTTGAAGTCAAGATGTGTGTGTCCTCCTACTTTATTCTTTTTTAAGATTGCTCTAGCTATTCAGTGTCCTTTGCCATTCCATGTAGATTTGAGGATTGACTTTTTTTTCACATTTTTGTAAAGAAGGCTGTTGGAATTTTGACCAGGATTACATTGAATTTATAGATAACTTTGGGTAGTATTGACATTTTAACGGTATTAAGCCTTCCATTCCACGGACATGAAATGTTCTTCCATTTATTTAGGTTTTGTTTAATTTCTTTTAGTAATGTTTTATAGTTATCTGTGCACAAGTGTTTTATCTTCCTGGTTAAATTTATTCTTAGGTACTTTATTGTTTTAGATACTACCCATGAGGAAACGTTTTACATTGAATGTTTTTGGTTATGTCATTTAATCGAAATTTTCACGTAGCTTTGAAAGCAAGTACCATTTTTAAGGAGCTTATTTAGTAATATTTTCATACTTAATTGGGCCCTTAAAAACTAAGGAGCCTATGAGTGTCCCTGCCTCATGCAAGTTCAAGGCCCTTTTTTTTGAAATTCAGATTTAGAAAATTTCAGAATTAGGTAATTGACTTGGTCCGAAGAAAGTCTGAAGGAGGCCCTAGGCTATTGTAAGCTTCTTTCCATTGCAGTTTCCGTGCCTGGCCCTGGAGCCCCAAGAGGGCTGGACTTCGGGAGTGCCCACCATGGCCACACCTTCCTGGTTCCAGTTTGCTATGATCTGCCTGAGCCTTCTCTTCCCCTGGTTTCTAAGGGGAAATAAGACTGTTGATGCTGTGTTTCTCTTTCTTTTGTTCTGTCTGAAGTTGAGGACTTAACCTGAGGTGGTAAACTTGAGGAAGTTATTGGAAAAGTGATTTATTGATAAAAATTTACTTTGTAGGCAGCTTTTCATTTTTTAAAGTGAACTATGATTACTGTATTTGTTTTTTGGATGGCTTTAAACAAGAAGTATTTCTGAAGGTTGCTTTTTGGGATGAAAGAAAGAAATGGTTTCTCTAAATAGTCGGACTTAACTAAAAAAAAAATAGTTTTGTTAAGCATTGCAGGTTGATAACATTGTGGATATGTTGAGGCTAATTTCTGATATTACCTTTGCTTCCCTTCCCCCTTTTTTTCTTTCGTCCTGATTCTCTTTCTGTGTTTATTTGTGTGTATACTGTTGTACCTCACTTGTATGATTCTTTTTGAAATGAGGGAAGTCATAAATATTTTTGTAAAGCTTAGCTACAATATCAGGATTCTAGAGATGGAAAAAGAGACCTTAGAAATCTTGTAGACCAATCCTTTTTTTATGAATGAGTAAACTGAGGCTGAATGTTGCTAAAGAGATTGGCCTTCGTGGACAGACAGTGCTACCATTTCAAAGGAAGGTTGATTTCTCATCACTGAAAGAAGCCTGAGACCCATTGTAACTTGAAATCTGGGTCACTCATGTTTTGTGAAGGAGCAGATAACCCAATGACTTTAAAAAATAAAATTCATTCAAATTCTTCTAAGAGGGTCTTTTGAGCCACCTGGTAATTTTCTTTCCATCTCCTTGTGCGCGTGAAATTTATAATCTGTACTAAGTTAGTGTTCAGGATTTACAGTCAGTATTGAACTGTTTTTGAAGGTAATGAGTGATGGCGGCTTCTTTAGATTACTCTTAATAAAACTTTGACCTTAAATTACGTAATGTTTTGTAATGCCTATGTAAATAGGAAACCCTGGTGGCATGGTGGTTAAGAGCTACATCTGCCAACCGAAAGGTTGGCAGTTTGAATCCACCAGGTGCTCCTTGGAAACTCTGTGGAGCAGTTTTACTCTGACCTAAAGAGTGACTGTGAGTCAGAATCAACGGCAATGGGTTTGGTTTTTGTTTGGTTTTATGTAAATAAAAAGGGCATTGTCCCAGCCCTGTTTGTTAAGCTTTACTATGGTATAAATCTACTTTGAGACAAAATTAAACTTTATTGTTTGTATTCTAAAGTGGCAGGTAGATCCATGTTTTACAGATAGCTTGTTAAATCAGAAGATTAGTAAAATAGGACTTATTATGTAGCTATTAATTATCTTTTGCTCTCATACGAAAACAATGTCTCTAAGCAGGTGACATCTTGAAAGTATAGAAAAAATTTAGCATCGGTGAAATTTTTTAAATTTATTATGATGGTACCTAAGAATACTTATGGAGCTGTCAACAATAAAGCCTATTTCAAGTTTAAAAAATGTTTTCTGAATTTTGATTGTGGTCCAGGAAAGAGTTTTTAAATACATTGAGGATTTAAAAAATAAATACCGATTTCAGATTATAGTGTCCACATTTGCTTTTAAA